CACTTCACCCATGATATTTTTAAAAAGATAATTTAATAGTTAAAATTTTAAAATTTAAAATTTAAAATCAATGAAAAAAGATTTAACAAAAGAAATTATTATTTTTAATTTAATCCATTTAGATGTGTTAAAAAAAAAAAAAAGGGCAGTTCGCCCATGATAAAATGAACGTGCAATAGGTAAGCTCCTCAACCTCACATGGCACGACTTGTGAGGATGAGTGATGTCATCTTTGGATTAGGTTAACATATCAAATCAAACAATTGTCAGATTCGCCAAGTCAGATGGAAGCGTGACAGGTATAAACAAAAAGATGAAGTCACTCGTGGAACTAATTCCACTTAATTTAACAAATTATTTATTGATTTTTATATGCTTTTCACTTTCATTTTTTATTTTTTAATTTTTTTAATTTTATCTATTATTTTTCATGTTTTTTTTTAATTTTATCTAATCTATTATTTTTAACAAAAATATTTATTTTAGATCTTTTTATTTTATAAGAAAATAATTAGTTCTCTAATTATATTTCTTTTAATCTTTTAATTTTTAAATTTATATTCACTATAAACATAGTTTTTATTCTTATCTTACTAAATATATTTTCAGAAAACTATTTTACAAAATAGATTGTATATAGTCGGTCTTGTAAAATTATTTAAATGTTTTTAATTTTATTTTTATATTATTTTTAGGAATATTTAAATAATTTTATAAAATAGATTACATATAATTTATTTTGTAAAATAAACTTATTTTTAAAATTTCTCGTTCTAAACTTATTGAATTTCTTTATTTGAATTGAACTAATTGCTTAAGTTTATTATAAATTCTAATTAATCTATTTCTAAAAATATTTCTTTATAAAATATTTCTTGAATCATCATATTTTATTAGGATTATAGTGTCACTTTTTCAAAATTTAAAAGATTATTCTTTTAATTAAATTTAATAAAATTTTGTGCGGTAAACTATTTTAAAATATTTTTCGAAATTTATAAATCATTTAGAAAGAAAATAAATTTTATAAATTAAAATAAAATTAAACTAATGTTAATAGATTAAAAATTAAATTAAGCCGAACTAATTTTAACGAAAAGATGAAGTCACCCGTTACATATAGAACTAATTTTCTACAAATTTCTTTTGATTTTGTACAAGCTAACTGTGAAGTTGATTGGAAAATTCGTGCGGAGGTTTTAGTTCAAGCGCGGGTCTCA